TGACGAGAATGCGATTTTCTAATGCTCTCTGTCTCCCTTCTCTCTCTCTCTCTCCCTTCTCTCTCTCCCTTCTCTATCTCTCTTTTGTGTCTCTCTCCCTCCTCTCTACATACACACACATCTGTGTACGTCTTAGAATGCTGCACTAGCTATTTTCTAATATCCATAATTCGATTACAATTGTATTATACTGATATTAGATGTGTATGATAGAGTGGTTGTTGCCCTATATCGTGCGTATATCATCAGATTAGCACAAGGGATTATTCTTAATCTCTAAAGTTGTAGATAAAGGATTTAATAGTTTGATTGATACGAATGGTCGTTGCCTGTTACAGATACTAACCTATCAAACATTAGAATGCAACGAAAAACATTCTTTACATGACCTCATTAAACTCGACAAGGGGTGCGACTCGAGCGGGTGTTACAATTACGATACTTCTACATACGTTTCCACATAGATGAAACATTTCCGAAAATTTTGTTGAAATAGTGCAGAAAATGTACTTAACAACCATTACTTATTCGTCATTTTAATATTATTTCGTTGATTTAACTTTTGTTTAGTCGCTACAAAAGTTCTGAAGTATTTAAATAGCTCCAGAGAAATTTAAAAAAATAAATATTTTTTCCCCCTGGGGTCCCGAAACAAGTTTGAATGAGTTTCGAGTCTCTGTTCCTTTTCATATATGAGAACATTCCTAAACACCCATACTCTTTTCGAAAGGGGCTTATTCCTAACAACTATCTGAATCGCTCACCTTACGATTTTGCAGTAGATAGGTGTGAATACTTTTTGTTACCGTTTAAGTTCAATATTCACTCGAGGCGACATCCTGCATTAAACCCCCGAGATGTTGGCATGCCGTAGCTTGTCTTATCATATGTTCTTTTCGCAAAAGTTCACTTACGTTCGTGAAGTAATAAACTTACACTTAACTGCAGCTATATTTCAAAATTTGCTTTTTTAATGGCTCTATTAAATTTTAATTATTTCATAATTAAGAGATTTGAAACAGGAAAGAAAACGTTTATGAAATATAATGCTAACAAATAAATTCATATATCCAACACAAATAAGACTTTGCAATTTTTTAAAATGTTGGAATGTATTTAATTTTGAAAGTCTTCATTCCTAAATTCCACGTGCTGAATGCGCAAAATGCAGTGCGAAGAATTGAAATTTGCTTCGCAGGCCACGAACATCTAGTGAAGTAGTATTGTGAAACCTCGGATAACATTATCGATGTGGCTGTCGCATCTTTTCCGCTATCGATCAGCCGGTCAAGGAGATAAGAGGCACTTGTCACGACACCAAATGTCAAGTTTACCGATTAGAGAAGCGTGTCGGAATGTTGGAAGTATAATCGAAATTGTAATGACACACATTCTCCTGGGGTACAACAGCACACTATCTCTACAGATTGATACCCATCCATTTTGAGGGATTGAGCGCCATATTCCGAGATGTAACTTTCCTTATAATTGAGTAAAATTGCCTTTTAAGTGAGCATTCTGTGAAAACGCTTGCTGATGATCCTATTACTTATTTATATTGATCATATCAAGAAACATTTCGTTGTAAGGAATGATAAGACAAATGGATGTTTCCAGGAAGAAAACTTAATATTTAAAATGATACAGTAATTTACAATGATGAAGGTTTCTCAAACAATGTGATCCGACGAACGTCCATTAGATAAATTTTTATCGAAACGTTTTCAAGAATTTGGATATTGAATTGCTTGAAACAAACGCATTGTGATAGCTTGTTACTGTGGTGGTATTTTTCCCGTTTTCTGATATCGAAGGTGAAAGAAGTCGCTCGTAATGCCTCTCTGCTGCTTCGAACGGCGGTGATAAGCCGATGGCTCTCTGCGGAGAGCAGGAGTAGAGATGGTAGATTTTAGCAAATGCTCAAAATGCGAAACGCTGAAAAATTGTAATTATATATTTGACGGAGCAGTATATTTCTGTAGGTTTTCAATCTGGGAAATCGATCGCAAAATGCAAAATCACGTACGAAATGGTCGTGAACCTGCTATATAATTGCTAAATTGCATTTTATGGTTTCCTTCACGTTCGCTCTCAACTTCGGATGCGACATCGACAACAACATATCGATGTTTGAAAACATTTAAATTGAGTGGCTGTGTTTATTAATTTTGTAATTAAGATTTAACTGATAAAACAAAGTATAAAATAATAATTAAAACACTTATTTTGAATGCCTGAGCACTCGGGTCATCTCAAAGAGTCTCAGTTCTCTGTGTGGAGAACGTCAAGGCAAGAAGAGGAAGGCTAATAAATCCTGGACCATCCTAAATAGAAGAAGAGGACGGCCCTACGCCAAAGTCCTACGAGTTACATCTTCCGCTTTTACCTTTTTTACGGTTGTCACGCCTTTATATTTGTCGAAGTTCACAAATGGCGAAATACTAAATTACCTTCCCTTAATTCATGATGTTTATGGGAAAATCCACAAAGCGTCAGTATAATTCTATTGTATTTGAAAGAGTCACTCCTTAACGAGAATTTTCTCAACAAATGCAACGAAATACGAAATCTTAATTTTTATAATGCTATAAAATGCTGTAGCCTTGTTTTCAAAATGCAATTTTTTAACATTTAAAGTGCTACATTCTACCATCAATAAGCATGAGCATTGTGCAAGGACGTGGCTTGAAACATGCTAGTTTTTTTCTTTGCTCGCGAATAGGCTGACTTGCACCACGCGTGCTTGCACCCTGCATTTACCGGGGCTCAGAAACATTATCTCGGTGGCAGGTGCATGTAAGTTTATCAGGGAATCAGGAGTTGGCTAGAACCGATTTTTGGATTGTTAGTCCTGAGACTATGAGAGATGAAATTATGATATTGAGAGGTGAGACGACGGCACCCACATACAAACACGAACACACCCATGCCCGAGGCGGGACGCGAACCCGCGATCTTCTGGTCCGAGACCGCTACGGGACTACTGCCTTAACGATCGCCGCCATCTGATCGACCATGCTAGGACTATTTAATATATGATATGCCACGCATTGAGCTGCGAAAGGATCGAAGTTAGAATGCCAACTGGGACATTGGTCACGTACAGCTGGGTCGCGCGCTTGAGGCGCCCCCGACACACACTCATCCGCCAAAAAAAGAACATCAGCCAACAGCATAACTGTAAATCGCTGGGCGCGTCGACCGTGTCAAGTAGTGTCTCATTAGGTCCGGCGCCTACAGATTCAATTCTTCGAGGAGGCTTTCCCAAGGCCGAACCGTTAGTGTAGGTGCCAGGCTGCCTCCGACCCCCCAAATCCTCGTCTTATGCCGTATCAGATGAGCACGACATAAGGGACTTACATCGCTAGTTTTGTCACAATGTCAAAAAGGATATTGACGATATGCCAAGAAATATAATACCTTCTTGTGGACTTGATGTTCAGATTGTCTTCCCATTTATTTGGCTAATCACATTATCGGTTCCTTGTTATTTAACAATCACAGCGCATGGATATTTTATCCCATTAATAAAACGGAATATTTTGAAATATGTTTAAAACAGCCTGATTTTATTGAAACAATACATTTACAACCATTCGAAGTAATAAGTCTGGCTCCTTCTTCAGGTACATTGAAATAATTACTTCTTTAGACTTTGCTAAGGGATGTTAGATCATTGTTCCCTTGCTTATTCGGTGGCCATGCCAGTTATCAGCTGATGGCCAAATTTATTATCAAGCATCAAATTTGTTATGCAGCCATTATCATCAAGGCGCAAAAAATATATTTTTTCTATACCTTCCTTCTGAAGAGAAATAAATTGTATTAATAATAATAATAATAATAATAATATATTGTTATTAGTTGAACACTTGAACAAGTTGACACATGAACGCGATTACGTCGCCCAAAGTCAAGAGTTAGAATAATCACAACACAAAAGTACAGTACGGAACCTAAACTGAGTGAATCAGAATAAACTTTAAAATATAAAATATTTATTAAACTTATAAAATATTTATTAAACCATATTTAAACTTTCAGGGCATGAAAAGGGTCAAAAGTGAACTGATCACGTTTTGCCAACGAACATATAATGGGAATTTTATATTTCAAAGGTTACCTCTAAACGACAAACGGCGGCGTATGCACAATTGTTCTGCAGCTACATGGAATCTCCTTGGCTACGTCAGAAGTTGACCAGCAGAACACCGGTGCATGAAGGTTTGCCTACAAATCAGGAGCAAATTTACGGTGTTACTTTTTATGTATTATAGTATCTTTTAATTATAGGTAGTCAAATTTGTCATCTTTTTATTACATTTAATATATAATATAATAAGAAATTTTACAAAGTTGACTGTCTTTAATTAAAAGATATCTCCTCCTTCCATTAGCACAACAACACTTTGCGGGTCTTGGCCATCAGGACTATATCGTTCCATTTTCTCCTGTCCATTACAGTCTCTCTCCACTTTCTTTCATTAATCAACTGGATATCCTGACATACGTCATCCATTCAGTATATTCGCCGCGAGATGACCGTGCGTGAGAAAAGGCGGACCACTTGTTACATGCGTTAGCATTACAATTCAGCATTGCAAAAATGAGTTACGAGATTCACACGGCTGAGGTATTCAGTTCTTGCTCCTGAACCCATAAAAGTTGTAGCATTGTTTTGAAAATTATTAAAACTAACTTGCTTCGGAGATATTTGGCATGTCAAAAAGATTGACCATATTAAAATCTCTCGAATAAGTATAATAGGAGGTTTAGTTTAAATAAATTGTAACTATTAGTTGCCCTTTTCGGTTTGAAACATTTAAATATTTTTAACTTACCATGGACTATGCATATTGGACGATTTTACCTCTCACGATCTTCTGAATCTGTAAACAAATTTGCTTACTGTTGTGTAAATTGAACTAACTAGGAATAAACATTGTGCAAAAAAAGTAACGATATTAAAACCCGACCAACATAAAAGGTTTTGTCACCATTGTGAGAAACCTCCCCCCCCCTAGACTACAAACGTACGTATTTTTAATTCTCACTATCTACATTATAGTCTAACTTTTGCGAGGAAATATTAAAAAGGTAAATAATTTCCCGCCGACCTGGATGGCAGAGGTGGCTAAGAGCAAGTACAGACTCAGCGCTTCGGTCCGAAGGGTCGCGGATTCGAGTCTCGTTTGGGGCATGGCTCTCAGATATGTGTTGTCGCGGAGGGCCTCGCGTTCTGCTGACCACAGATCAGAGAAGACCCCAAGGTGTGTGAATGTATAATGTATGGTGTAATATGCATCCCATCGGGACGCACAAGGTATCCGGCTGTCGGCTGGAAAATGCCCTAAGAACAATATATAATTTCCCCTAAGATCCGTTTGGTCGGTCTGCAGGTGGTAATGGGGTTCGGCGACACGCAGGCCATCTTCCAGGCGGATGCAGCGGCGGCGGGCACGCCGCCTACGGAGTTCGTGGCCCAGGGGTTGGACAGCCTGTACGAGAAGATAGTGGGGAAGCCCCTGGGCGACACCCACCGCGCTGACGTGGACGCGTGCCACCTGCACGAGCTGCTTTGCCGCTACCTGCGAACGTACGTAGACGCACCAACTACTAGCCAAGGACATCACTTGGGGTCCAAGTGTATGGCGACCAAACACAATTCATTTGTATTGAATAAATGTGAAGTGAAATTGGGATTTAAAATTCTTATGACATTATTACCATCATTATTCAAATGATACTTCTCAGAGACTTGTTTCGCAAAGGGGTGACCGCTAAACGTGACGCCAAAGAGGCGACTCATAGCACCCAGGCAATGAATAACACAGGTCACTCGAAATTGTATTGCCCGGGCGGTTTACAGTGCGATGCAGGTCTTTTATCACGCGGAAGAAAAAGGTTTCTCGTTAGTGTTGGCAACTCGTAGGGTGTGTTGTAAGATACGTTTGTGGTGTGAAGCATACTATATGATAATGCTGATCATATCATCCCTTTTTGTAGCATAATTTCAACTACGAAATTATTTTCTAATATAAATATGCTCCAAATCGGTGTATTGTAGAATAGGTGTTTGCAAATGAATAGTACACGCGGCGAAATTTGCGCAGTCAGTGCCGTCATAGGGAATGGAATTGGTCACACTCAATGCCGTCTCAAAGTCATTGACTTCTTCGCTTTCGATAAGTAGCCTCGCCTCAAAAAGTAATACAATTAAAGTTTGTGTGATACGTACAATGCGTACAAACTCTGAAGTTAGATTAGGAGTAGACCTCGGATATTAGGAAAAACGTCACTTATATTCTAAAGAACTTTGCACAAATTAGAAATAGTTAACTATTCTGACCAAGTTTATTTTGCCTACTTTGAAATGTGTCATTTTAAGAATATTTAAATTTTGAAATGCAATTTTTTTCTTGAAATATATTTGGATTTCCTTCTAGTCTTAGTTAAAAATAAAGATTTAAATCATTTTAAGTTTTAGCAATCACATTAGCTGTCTGCTGGTAAAAACCTCCATTTTTTATCTCTCCTTATCGGGAGTCATAAAGGAAAGTTCATAACTCTCCACAGTTTTCCCTTCTTTTTTAATTTTTGATATCTTACGAACGGAAACGGCGGTTGCTATAGCGACTATTTCTCTTGCACTTTGTACGGGATTTGTAAATTTTTCGGGACAAGCTTTCTTCATTAAATATGATAAATGTATATATTACTTTCATCGTCTGTGCGTGTAATTTCTTCATCTTTTATTTTCAACGGCTGGGAAATAATATTCATATCCGATGCACTTCCAAATTAAGATAGGCAAGTGTACTTCGATCTTCGAAAACTGTACTTCGATTTTTTTTTTAATGACCGATGGATGTCATTAGGTCATTGTTATACCTCCTGTCTTCTAAAATGAATATTTTTAATTCATTCGGAAACATACTTCTCAACGTGGCTCGTGTCCTGAGAATGTGCTAACCGCTGTTTAAAAGATTCATTTTATGGGAGGTGTAACAATGACCTAATGACATCGGCCACTTTAAAAAATCGAAGTACACTTGCATGTAAATGCACAAGTTAATAAAAAAATTGTCCGCAAACCGAAGAGAATGAAGGAGGATAGCTGTGCACAAATTATTTTTAAGATACCTAATAAAAATGCCGATAATGCGCATTGCAGTCCAAGAGCAAATCCTAGGCACCAAATATACCGAAGAGAAAAGGAAAGAAACGTAGCTGGGTCAAATAATAAACAACATATCCGGAACGGTAACTTCTTTCTCGCGCTCGACATAACACGAGAAAACAAATCAAACGAAAGGCACGCATTGGGCTACCTTATGTTTTCAGAAAATCGATAGTGCGTGAAGATTGCTCTGCTGCACATGGGCAGTGTCTCCCTGCTCTGGTAATCACTTGCACATTAACGATCGCAAACGACACAGATTCGTCGCTCGAAGTTCTGCATTTTTTTTAACAAACCGCCTTATAATAAACTCGAAGAATGTGCCCTTCAGAACAACTCTGGGAGCGTTAGGATTACTTCTCGAAATTCGTTTTCTGGGATGGGTGGTGGCCGTAGCGCTAACGAACAAGCAACAAGAAGAGCTGCGATTACATTTTTTAATATTTAATTTTGATTCTTAATAGATAATTTTTCATGTATTGCGCCCAAAAGTAAAACCATATAACTGTGTTTAAAGTTTCTTTTAGTGAAACTTTCCTGATAGAAATTTTCATTTTTGACAATATTATTAAAAGTTAAAAGCGGCCGCGACTCCACATTCAACTAGTTTATTATTATTATTATTATTATTATTATTATTATTATTATTATTATTATTATTATTATTACTACTACTACTACTACTACTACTGAGTGAATGATGCGAAAACACAAAATCGCAGAAAATTCTAAGAGAGACATCACTTGTCAGTCAGTAGCTTTGCAACGCTCCACATGTCGAAAGGCTGTATCTCGCAGGTTCGGGACCTGACGAGAGCTTCATTCCGTGTGAACAACGGATTTACTTTTATGTCAAAAACAGTTAAAAACTGTGTGTGACGTGCCATGGTGGAAGTTAATTTGAAGTTTCGTTTACACGGACTGCAACGTTGAGTCCAGCTTCGCCTGCCCTCGCTCCTATAAGTCGCTGCGCCAGATGTATTACTATACGCGCACGTGTTCTTGAGATCCGAAATACCTACTCCCACTTCCTTACTAACATTAGTTGAATTAAGAATAAATGATAAAAAGAAGAGCGTTGACATCTGATAACCAGACATGTTTTCTTCTATGTAATAGACACTATTTTTCGTCGAAAAACGAGTTACATAGTTGATATAGTAATACGTTTGTCAAAATATGTCAAATCCCCCACTTCTCTCGTTTATACCGAAATGAGGGCTCAAGAAAACGTACGCGGATAGTAGCATTTCAATAACCATCTGAGAATTTTTTCGTGAAATGAAAAAGTATTTCGATATTGTTAATCCAGACAGTAGTCGGAGAAAATCCGTTGTCAAGCTAAGGTTACAGTTTATCTGTTGAGAAAGTTTGTGAACATGCCAAAGTAGCCGATAACTAGTTGTGTCTCACGAACAGTTTCTGACAAACGGGCAGAATCACTTGTTTCACGATCTGAGATAGCCTTATCACACACTCATAACCTTAATCGTCAAAAACGTACTGCGTTTTGTCTGAAACAATTTTTTCCCTCAAGCAAATACTGTTGATTTTCTCTTTATCGCGGAGAAATCAGCCGACAAATTCGTAACAACAATCCAAGTCTTGTATTTTATTTTTTCTTGAAATAAAGTGATATACAGGAAAACTTTAATCAAGAAAAAACTTGTAGTGTTACCACGGCACGCACTTTCTCGCATTATTTACAATTTTTGCAATTTTCGAAATTTATGAGAATTCAACGAAAGAGACCTGCGCCGATTTATTAAGCGCCTCGTATTCTACCCAAGGATAAAAGAGAAAAAATTGAACCGTTTTTTAGAATTTTTTAATAATTTGCATTAACTTCAAACAAAAATTGCATGAAAACTATTCGGTTTTTCTAAGAATTATTCATGACCTATTTTGAAGATATGAAGTTTTGGAAAAGATTTCGTTGAAGATAAAAACTCTATCTTCAAATTTGTAGTTTTACAATGATAACTTTCTGCATTTTTTGAAAAAATGGAGTTCACTGGAATGGGTCTAGCAACATTTTTGACGTGACGCCGCGTCAAAGGCCGTTTCGGTTATCTTTTCGTGGTCTTCTTCAGCCCTGCTTTCCTCAAAGCGCAGTGACCAGCTCTGAGGAAGACCATATGGTAAGATGGCCGAACGCCTGCATCAGAGCCTTCGACGCGGCTTCATCCGGACAAGGAATGCGACATCAATATCGATATTTTCAAAACATCGATGTTTTTTAGAAATATTTTTTAACATCGATGTATTAACGTCGATGTTTTGTAATCGATGTTTTTCTTTTCAGATGTTTTGTTTGTCTTGAAAAATTCATTCAAACTGATCATGAAAAATTTCCATGACTACAATACCGTTAAAGTTAAAATATGAAATATAACTGATTGTAACACTGTTAGCTCTTGTGTTCAAACTAAAGGAACGCTATTAGTACTACGTTCATCCCCCGATGTGACCTCCAAGCCCTTGTATTTCTTCTTTCTTCGTAATCATTTCGCACAGAAGTGGTCAACAAATGCGCTGAGGTCGTAATGGGTCCGCCCCTTCTTGTCGTACCCTTTATTCGGCGAATTGATAAACACGAATACTGTCCAATTACGTTTCGTTGCATCGCGATATTTGAGGTAAGAGGTTAGTAACCCAGCTTGAATCCATCGATGGTTTTTGTCTATGTATTATTATTAACATGGATGTTGCATCACTAGGGAGTTTGTGCCAGCCTTAGCGTCAGCAATATCGATGCGCAGATGCACTAAAATGGTGCGAAACGTGAACTGCGCATGAGCAGAAGATGGATAGTGCTTTAACGTTCGAGGCGGCACAAACTCCCTAGTGGAATCAAAAACGCAGTTTGTGCCATCTCAAACGTTAAAGCACTATCGATCTTCTGCGCATGCGCAGATGCACTAAAATGGTGCGAAACTTGAACTCCGCGTGAGCAGAAGATCGATTGTGCTTTAATGTTCGAGGTGGCACAAACTCCCTTTTGTGCCAGCCTTAGCGTCTGCAATATCCATGTTCTGCGCATGCGCAGGTGCACTAACATGGTGCGAAACTTGAACTGCACCATGAACAGAAGATGGATAGCGCTTAAACGTTCGAGGCGGCACAAACCCCCTTCTAATCCGGTGAGTCCAGCACATGCCTCGAGCCAAGCGTTGTGCACGTTGCGCAGGGAGGAGCTGTCGCTGCGGCTGCCGGCGCTGGCGCGCTGCGCCTACTCGGCGCGCTGCATGCGCCGCCTGGCGGGCTGGCGCGCCGACTGGTGCGAGCCCAACTGGGACGCGCTGTGGGCGGCGGTGGGCTGCGCGCAGCGCCTGCAGCGCCCGGGCCGCCCGCTGCCCTCCGTCAAGAAGCGGCGCGTGCTCGTGCGCAACCTGCTCGCCTCCGGGTGCGTACGCCACACCCCCATGCCCAAGCCCCATCCCTCACTCAAGCCCTATCACCATTCCCAAGCCCCATCCCTATTCCCATGCCCAAGCCCCATGCCATGCCAAAGCCCTATCACCATGCCCAGCCACCATCCCACACTCAAGCCCTACCGCCGTTCCCAAGCACCACCCCCATGCCCCACCACCATGCCCAATCCCCATTCCCATGCCCAAGCATCACCCCCAGGCCTCACCCCCATGCCCATGCCCGACACCCCACTGCCCAAGCCCCACCCACATGCCCAAGCCCCATCCTATGCCCAATCCCATGCCCAAGCACCACCCCATGACCAAGCCCTACTCCCATGCCTCACCACCACCCTACCCCCGTGCCTCAATACCACGCCCAAGTCCCATCCCTTACCATTCCCAAGCCCCTTCGTTATTTCCATGCTGAAGCATTACTCCCATGCCCAAGCCCCATCTCATGCCAAAGCCCTATCACCATGTCCAAGCCCCATCCCATACCCAAGCCCCACTTCATGCTTAAGCATCACCCCGAAGCTCCACCCTCATGCCCCATCCTCATCCCCCTGCCCAAGCACCACCCCATACTCAAGCCCTATCACCATGTCCAAGCCCCATCCGTATTCCCATTCCCCATCCTCATGTCTAAGCACCACCCCCATACCCAAGCCTCATGCCAAAGCACCGCCCCATGCCCCACCACCATGCCCAAGTTAGAGGCAGCCGAGCCAGATAATCAGTCTTTCCAATTTTTTGTCTTCCAATCTTAATTATATTCTCTCTCACAGGTGTCTCGGGAGAAGGGGGCACGTCCCCATGGTATTTTCAAGTACAACAATACAATTTATTCTAATTTCATTTTTTGTCATCAGGATGGCCACTCTTCAAAAAACATGAAAACCCGGAAAAAATCAGGGAATTTAACTGATTTTGAAATGTCTAAGAAAAATCAGGAAATTAGTAGAAGAGTCGTAAGAAGTCAGACAAAATTTTCAAAGGCTTATAAAACGAGATATTATTCATTGAAACCTTAGTTCAACATTATTTGTTGTGGGAAAAGGAGTTGTTTCTAACTTCTCCTGAACTGACTGGGAGATTGAAAAGTCTTTTAACTAACTGGTGGATGGAGGCTCGCCGGGGTGAACCTATATTTTCATATTTTAGGGAGAAACCGAATGATCACAATGCTTCCCACCTCCGGTTCTAACTTCCATCAATTCGTTTATAGTTTAGTGACAAAGTAAATTATTAAATTCATGAATAATTATTTTCTTACCCACCACGTGTAAACTATCTTGTATGCATTTTAGGGTCGACGTATCATGTATGTTGGTATTTTATTTAGGATCGGATTATTACGACTTAGTCAGCCAGCGGTGTTCCCAGGCCCGGATTCTACTTTTATTTATTATCCTGGGAGTATGGGAGATATCTGGCGATCATGACGTTTTACCATCACCAAACCTAGCATACTCGGTCTGTCTAAGCTTTATCTTTTATCACACAGCTATAGAAACTGAGACAATTTGTATTAGAAAGCTACTTTCATTTTCACACAGGCCGGGAATTGAATTCGGGACAATCTCACAGAAAGCTAGCATACTGTCCATGTACCCCCCCCCCCCGAGGAGCTGACAAAACATGCATTTTAAAAAATTGGACTAAACTAAAAGTCCGAGAAGACGACACGCATTTCCTCTCATGCCCCCGCTTCCACATTTTTATTTTTTGCCAGAGGCGCCCATGTACCCTGGTTGTTGGAAAACGTATACCGTGAAAATGCATCCACCATATTTATTAATTTATTTACGTCAAAACAGTTAAAACAATGTGTGACATGCAATGGGAAGAAGTTGAATTGAAGTTACATTTTATATTATATTACATATTAGAATACCCGCTAGTGTTTTTGTGGTGAAATGTCACCGTTTCAAATGTCTAGTTTTGGAATGGAGGCAGTTGGTGCAGTTGGTCTTAGTTTGCCATCTCGCTTTTCTATTACGCATGGTGCAGGTACGACCTGCCGACGCTTCACGCCGACTGGCAAAGGGGCGGTCATGCGCTGGTGCTGCGCAGGGTCACGCGAATGAAGAACCTGCGGGAGAGCTACATCACTGACACACGCAGCCTCACAGCTCACGAGGTAACATGAAGTTGTTGTTATTGTTATTATTGTTCTTGCTAAGAATTGTAACTTTACTTAATTTACTGCACGAGGCAAACGAGTAATCTCCAAAGATCCTGACTCCCCGTTGTAATTGATATTAAATATACTCGTGACTTGTTTTTAGTAAAATACTTCATATTTGTCCATAAAAATTAGTTTAAATATTACATAACAGTTTCATATTGAACTAATTATCGAAAAGAATTGATGTAATTGGTATTAAATATAATAGTTTCTTGTTTTTTGAGCAAAATACTTCATATTTGTGCATAAATATCTGTCTAAATATTACATAACAGGTTCATTTTGAACTAATTGTCGAAAAGAATTGATGTAATTGGTATTAAATATAATAGTTTCTTGTTTTTGGAGCAATACACTCCATACTTGTGCTTAAATATCTATCAAAATATACGTAACTGTTTCCCAATGAAGTGAAGCGAGTGTATGGTGTGTGTGCGGCAGGTGGCGGACCGGGTGGCGGAGTACTTCGCGAGCGTGGCGGCGCGGGGGCGCGCCGCCGGCGGCGGAGGGCCCGTCTCCAG